AGTGTTTTGATTACCAATTCAATTTCTTTGCTGGTAATTTGTCTATTCAGATATTCTGTTTCTTCCTGGGTCAGCCTTGGAAGGTTGTATTTTTCTAGAAAGTTGTCCACTTCTTCTAGGTTATCCTGTTTGTTGCCATATAATTTTTCATAGTATTGTCTCATAATTTTTTGTATTTCTATGGTGTCCGTAGTGATTTTTCTTTCTCATTTCTGATTCTGTTTACGCATGTAGACTCTTTTTTTCTTGATAAGTCTGGTTAGGGGTTTATCTATTTTGTTTATTTTCTCAAAGAACCAGCTCCTGCTTTTATTTATTCTTTCTATTATTTTATCCTTCTCACTTTTATTTATTTCTGATTTAATCCTTATTATGTCTCTCTACTGGCTTTGCGCCTCATTTGTTCTTCCTTTTCTACTTTCATTAATTGTGAGTTTAATATACAATAAAGGAGCCATGGATATACAATGGGGAAATGACAGCCTCTTCAACAGCTGGTATTGGCAAAACTGGACAGCTACATGTAAGAGAATGAAACTGGATCATTGTCTAACCCCAAACAGAAAAGTAAATTTGAAATGGATCACAGACCTGAATGTAAGTCATGAAACCATAAAACTCTTAGAAAAAAACACAGGCAAAATCTCTTGGACATAAAATGAGCAACTTCTTCATGAACATATCTCCCTGGGCAAGGAAAACAAAAGCAAAATAAAGCAAAAATGAGTAAGTAGGACTATATCAAGCTGAAAACCTTCTGTCCAGCAAAGGACACAATCCATAGAACAAAAATGCATCCTACAGTATGGGAGAAAATATTCATAAATGACATATCCGATAAAGGGTTGACATCCAAAATATATAAGGAGCTCACACACTTGAACAAACAAAAAGCAAATAATCCAATTAAAAAATGGGCAGAGGAGCTGAACAGACACTTCTCCAAAGAAGAAATTGAGATGGCCAACAAGCACATGAATAGATGCTCCACATCACTAATCATCAGAGAAATGCAAATTAAAACCACAGTGAGATATCACCTCACACCAGTTAGGATGGCCAACATCCAAAAGACAAACAACCAGAAATGTTGGCAAGGATGTGGAGAAAGGGGAACCCTCCTACACTGCTGGTGGGAATGTAAATTAGTTCTACCATTATGGAAAGCTATATGGAGGTTCCTCAAAAAACTAAAAATAGAAATACCATTTGACCCAGGAATTCCACTCCTAGGAATTTACCCTAAGAATGCAGGAGCCCAGTTTGAAAAAGACATATGCACCCCTATGTTCATCGCAGCACTATTTACAATAGCCAAGATATGGAAGCAACCTAAGTGTCCATCAGTAGATGAATGGATAAAGAAGATGTGGTACATATACACAATGGAATATTATTCACCTATAAGAAAATAAATCCTACCATTTGCAACAACATGGATGGAGCTAGAGGGTATTATGCTCAGTGAAATAAGCCAGGCAGAGAAAGACAAATATCAAATGATTTCACTCATCTGTGGAGTATAAGAACAAAGCAAAAACTGAAGGAACAAAACAGCATGAGACTCACAGAACGCAAAAATGGACTAACAGTTACCAAAGGTAAAGGGACCGGTAGGATGGGTGGGAAGGGAGGGATAAGGGGGAAAAGGGGCGTTATGATTAGCATACATCATGTAGGGGGGGCATGGGGAGGGCTGTACCACACAGAGAAGACAAGTAGTGATTCTGTAGCATCTTACTGCACTTGTGGACAGTGACTCTAATGGGGTATGTGGTGTGGACTTGATAATGGGGGGAGGGGGGAGTCTAGTTACCATAATGTTGCTCATATAATTGTAGATTAATGATACCAAAATAAAAATAAAATAATAAATGCCTAGACCAGTTTATAGCATTTAATGTGTTCAATAAATAGTTCCTTTCATAATTTAAAAAAAAGCCACTATTATCTAATAAATTAGTCATGGGGATGAAAGTACAGCTAAGGGAAGATAGTCATACTGTAATATCTTTGTATGCTGACAGATGTATGTATATCATGGCGAGTACTTACTAATGTAGTGTAATTGTCAATTTGGTGTGTTGCACACCTGAAACCAATATAATATTGTATATCAACTATATTTCAAGTTTTAAAAGTGCTTAAAGAGTTAAATAAATGGGAACTTAAAAGAAAAGTAGTCACATGAAAATAAAATGCCCATTAGCCAGTGAATAGAGAAATACAAATTAAAACCAAAATGAGATGACACTGCACATGTATCAGTATAGCTAAAATTTTTAAAAAAGCGTTATAAACCTTGCGAAACCAAATGCTGGAGAGTATGGGGAGCGGTTGAAGCCCTTATATGCCGCTGGTGGGAATGCAGAATAAGGCAGCTTCTTTGGTGATTGGCTTGAAAGTTTCTCATAAAGTTAAACATGCACTTATCCACCAGACCTATTCTGAGGTATTTACCCAAGAGAAATAAAGACATGTTTACACAAATACCTGGGTGTGAATATTCTCAGTGGCTTTATTCATAACCACCAAAAACTGGGAACAACCGACACTTTGCACCTGGTGAAAGGATTTGCAAACAGGTGCATCCACATAGTGGAATCAACCACACAACAGTCAAAGCATATTGATGCTCCCACAGCACGGAGGAATCTCAAATGCATTTTGCTACGTGAAAGAGCTGGGCGTAGGGGGCGCTATGGGATGTAACCTTTAGAAAGTGAGTAAAATGAGGAATAGGAGATAGTCAAAAGCTAAAACTCCTTCCTCACCCTGTCTGTCACCCTGCCCTGCCTCTGTCACTGTCATGCTATTCTGAAGTTGGTAAATGTTCTTGTGTTTTTGTATTCTTACTGTGTGTGTACATGTTTAATCATGAGGAAAACATGGTGGTTTTATATGTTTTAAACATGCAAATGGTATGTGTCATTGTGCAACTTATTCTTCTAAACACCGCATTTCTGAGTTTTATACATGTAGATGTATTTCATCTATTTTTCACTTCCTGTCTCAGTGTGTGCTACAGTGACAGAGCGCCGAGGACTAGGGCCTTAAAGGTGACAAGCCTCCACGCACTGGAGCCTTAAATTAAACAGAGACACTTATTCCTCAGTCCTGGCGGCTGGGCATCTGAGGTCCAGGCTGCATCCAGTTTGCTTCGGGGTGAGGGCCCACTTCCTGGCCTGCAGATGGCCACCTGATCACTGTGTCCTCACGCAGTGGAGAGAGGACACTGACTCCATGAGACCCCCACCCCTACCCTCAGCTAAGCTTGATCACCCAGTACCCCCCACTGGGGGCCAGGGCTCCCACACAGGACCCGCCAGGGATGCGCACACAGTCCTGAGCACTTCCCAGCAGTGCATTTAGTGCTGAGTGGTCTGTTTCCTATTGCTCAGCTGGTACACTTTGACTTCACTGTGCAAATGAGCCGTGTTCCTGTGCAGGCCCTGTCCATCTCCCTGTCCTCGTGCATGTGGAGACCACACCCGGAATGAAGCTGCTGTCTGCAGCCTCCAGAACTAGTGTCGCCTCCACACATGGCCCCATGCGCTCCTGCCCAAGCTCTGTGCCCCCATCTCCACCACCTGTAATCATGTGCGGGCATCAGCAGTGTCACCTTATTCTCACATTTCCCTGGGCACTAGTGAAGCTGAGTGTCTTACATGTTCATTGGCAATTTGATTTTCCTGTTCAAAAATTGCCAGTAAGCCTCCTCTACCCATTTCTGGGTGGGTTTCTTTGTTTCTGCTTTGTCCGCGATGAGGGTGGGCACCTTGTTCAGTGGTGTGCAGCATCTCCATGCGCCCGCTCGCTCCCTGGCCTCCTTGTCCCACCCTGTTGCCTTGCCAGGGCCGGCAGTGTCCTCCTCTGGGCAAGACCCAGGACCTTTCCCTGCCTGTCTTCCTTCATCCAAAGGTTTGCCACTGGGAGCACCTGTCCTGAAGAAGCCCTTTCCCTGGGAACAGCTGAAAGCCTGTTGGAGACACCCCTCCCCGCCCTCCGCCCCCTGCCCCTTCCCAGATGCAGGCCACTAGGTCCCCAGAGTTCCACACCATTTCAGACGGTCTCATCCAGCCCCACCCCCAACCTCTGTCCTGGCCTGTGGACACTGTCCACTGCCCACTGCACCTCCAGGGTAGAGCCCAGCAAACTGTAAAAGGGTCACTCTGGTTTCAGAACAGAACTCAAAGTCTGGAGCTACTTGGTGCCCTGCGGTGCACAGCCTTCCTTGTGCAGCTGGAGTTCCCACCACAGAGCCTCTGACCACCCCAGCCACGCTGGCCCCTGTTCCCCCGGGGAGCCAGCCTTTCTTCTGCCTGAAGGCCCCTTAGCTGACATCTTGCTGATCTTTCCAGACCTACCTCTGATACTGAAACGTTCAGGGAGCTCTGTGCTGAGGAGTGTTTACGTCTGCTCCTTGGCCTCTACCTGGCAGACACCCAGCACGCCGTTCGCCAGCGGGAGGGCCCACCACTGGCATTGGTAGAAGGGCGGCCAGGGGCCAGCTGGTTTCCTTCCAGGGCCCTGATTTTCCCCCTGTGGTTACGGCCCTGAAGGGAAATGGGCATGCAGCATAGCACCCCAAGGCCCCCAGGAGGCCCTTGGGACTCGGTCGCCTAGGACACCCCAAGTTCCAGGTCAAAGCACCCAGTAGCAGGGCGCCTGGAGCTGTGGTCCAGGACTTCAGGCTCCCTCCCCTCGTGACGGTGTGTAGAGCCCTCACCATGTGTCACGCATACCTTCTCTCACCTCCCCCATTTCTAGTGGGGAAACTGAGGCAAGAGCACACCTCCCAGATCACAATGCTCATCAGTGACGGGGCACTCTTACTGCAGGCTAGAAACACAAGGGCCACCTCGGGGAGACCAGTGGCAGGGACCCTTCCTGACCCTCAGGGCGGGTTCCTCCAACCACCACCAAGCCACCCTGTGTCACAGCTGAAGCCAGCAGAGGCAGACACCCACGAGCATGCTCAGACCTGTGCTTCTTCCTAGGCCCACCATGTCCCGGCCCCAGAACCTAGAGCCAGGCCTCAGCATGCAGGAAGGCTCCCCAACAGGCACAGGGGATGAGGAGGCTGCTGATGGGGTCCAGCATTCCCACCGCATGCTCAACTTCAGCGATGCCCTGCTGTCCATCATCGCCACTGTAATGGTCAGTGAGGGTCACCATCCAGCCCAGGGCCAGCCCCCAGAGCCACGTCTCCCACGGGACCCTGGCCTTCTAGTAGAGCTTGGCCAGTGTGGAACCCATCCCAGCTCACAGCATCCTGGGCTCCCCACCCCTCAGGCGGCTGGAGGGGGTGGGAGGAGCAGCTGAGCATTAGCCCAAGTCCCTGACACCATGGCACCCAAGTAGCGGTTAGCGCCCAGGTCAAGAAATGCCCCTTTTCCATCTTTTCTTGTAGATCCTGCCTGTGACCCACACGGAGATCTCCCCGGAACAGGTACCTGGAACAGTCTGCAGCGTCTGGGGCGAGTGTTCAGGGGCCAGATCTGGCTCTGCCCTAGGTGCCTGTGATGGGGAGGGGCAAGGTTGTTTGCTGTGCCAAGAAAAGCAGGGCATCAGTGGCAGGCACACCCTGGAGCTGGGGTCCCTACAGGTGTCTGCTGCCAGCAGCCGCACAAGGAGCAGAGGGCAGCCCCAGCCTGAGGTGCTTGCACAGGGTCCCCAGCACAGGGACCTGCAGGTCTCATCATGGTGTCTGGGGAACAGGGCCTCCCCCAGATGGGTGCCCACTCACAGCCACCTTGGGATATTCCTGTTTTGTGAGTTAAATGGTGACACACAGTGCTTTAGAAGTGGGACTTGATTTCAGAAAACATTCTGAAGGCCCTGGGCGTGTGTGTGAGTGCCTCGCCCTGCTTCCTCGCGTGTGCCTGGGTGTCCTCCGATGGCGCAGCGGAGCGGGACGTGCGGTGGAGGCCCCCTGAGCCCGGATGCTGCTGGAAGCCCTGGGGGCTGCTTAGGGCTGGACTCAACGATACTTCTCCTGGGGCTTTGATGGAAATTCAGTAGAAACGCGTGCCACTCCCTCTGCTCCGTGGCCCCCCCCCACTCTCCCTGACAGTGATGCTCTTCTGTTCAGCAGTTTGACAGAAGTATCCAGAAACTTCTAGCAACCAGGATCGCTGTCTACCTGATGACGTTTCTCATCGTGACGGTGGCCTGGGCAGCACACACACGGTATGGGGTCAGGCAAGGGCTTTTCCCAGGCCAGGACACACCTCTGTGTCTCCCCCCCGTGTGTGCAGGGCCCGGCTTGGCCAGGTGGGCACTGCAGCCAGCTTGCGCTCACGGCACTGACGAGACGCCCGTTCTCAGGGTGCCTGCTGGCCTGGCGCTTCCCCGGCTGAGTCGGGGCCGCCCTCCTGCTGGAGTTCTTGCTCTGAGTCCCCACTTGGGCATCTGCATGCAGCACCCGCAGCTCAGGCCCCAGGGACTGGGGTGAAGACAGGAGTGATGGGCTCCCGTGGGTGCGCACATTGTCTGGGTCTGGACCAGGCCCACTGTGGCCACCTGCTTGCACCACTTGAGATGGCAGGGCTGTGACACCTACAGGAGGGCCCAGGGGCAGAGTGGGCTTCAGGTCAGAGTTGGCACTGAGGATCAGCCCTTGGAATGAAATGCTGTTGGTGGGGGTTTGGCAGGAGCTGGGTGGGCCGTACAGCCTGCTGGCATGGCCAAGCTCCCCACTGGACCTGCTGTGTGGGTACAGTCACATGGCACGTCAGTTGTGTACTGGTTCATCAAAGGCCACACCCCAATGCCGAGTTCTGGCTTCTGGGAGTGGCACAGATCTGCCCCTGCCCAGGCCCTCACAGCCATGCTTCTTGCCCCGAGCTCGGTGGGTCTCCAGGGCACGCACCCCTCTGACTGTTGGAGAGGCACTCAGCCCCAGAGCCAATCCTGAGCACTGGCCCACTGAGGCCCCTTGGCCCCTGGCTGGATACAAACCTCTGGAGGGGAACCAAGGCCCGCTGAGCCCAGCCCAGGAGAAGGCCTTGCAGTGGAGGTTCAGAGCCTGGGGAGGACCCAGTGAAGGGGCCAAGCGAGAGTGGGCCTTCAGAGAGGATTTGTTTCCAGGTCCAGAGTTGGCCCTTAGTGAGCCCTGCTGGCCTTCCATGGCCAATGGGTCCAGGCCCCTTCCCACCTTGAAGTGAAACTATCTTGTCATGTAGGCTGCTTCAGTAGGGTTGGCAGTGATGCCCTGGAAAACTTCCTTTTTAAAAATGGCCTGTAGACATGAGGCCTAAAGAGCGAACTCACTGTAGGGCATAGCTTGCCCTTCCCAGGTCCCCGTGTCCTCAGGTAACCAGGGGGACGTGCCAGGCATGGGCCCTGCCTGTGCACCTCGGAACAGGCAGCCAGCAGTCTCCTGAGGCTGTGCCTCCTCTGGGACCTCACAGGCTGCCTTCTTTAGTCTGGTACCCAGGCAAGTCCCAGGAGAGCTGCCAGCCACCTCACTGCCCTGTGGTCCACACGGCTGCTGTGAAGGGGGAGCAGCCCTGACTGCCACACCGTCAGCTCCACAGCTTTGACGACAGCGTGCCCCAGAGCTGCCAAGTGCGTCTGATTGTTTCTACAGACCGGTTCTGACTTGGCTCAAAGCAGCTTTAGAGAGACAGTGGAAAGAGTCCTGGGAGTGTTAACAGTGGTGGTTTCCAGGGAACTTATTTTCTTCTTGTTTCAGTATTTTCAAACTTTACATGCTGGGTTATATTTTAAGTTTGGTTTAAAGTGACCTTTTTTAATGATGTTTAAACAGAAAAAAATGGTGTTTGATGCTATTAGAACCACATTTTATTGATAACACATCTTTTCCTGTTTTACTCAAATTGTTTAGGTTGTTCCAGGTTGTGGGGAAAATAGATGATACACTTGCTTTGCTTAACCTGGTGAGTTTTTGCTTCCATTTTTTTGGAAATGATTATATCTGTAGTTCTGCTCTCCCATGAGGAGTGAAAGCAAGCACCCAGCCTCGTGCTTCTCTGGGCCTTTGAGTGTGCAGAGCCTAGAAGGGGCCCACACCTGGGGGCACCACTGAGAAGATGAGCCCCTCCCCTCTGAGCAGAGTGCATGAGGGCATGTGCTTCCTTGGGGTCAGGGTGTTGGACTGTGACATCCTTCTGGGGCAGTCCCCCGGGTGCTGCAAGGCTGGCGTGGAGGGGCCCGCCTGCCTCCCCTCCTTTCTCCCTTCCCAGCCCTCCCTTCCCTCCTTCCCTCCCAGGCCTGCATGATGACTATCACCTTCCTGCCATTCACAGTGAGTACTGCGATTTTATCCTCCACTCCTCCCAGTGCCCTGCCGAGTGCCCCACAGGGCCCAGCCTGTCCTTCACTGTGCTGGAGGACTCAGAACCCTAGATGCCCCCCCCAACTCAGAAACTCTTAGACCGGCATGGTGGTCCGGTGACCAAACAGTTGCAAAGAGGAGAGAAGGTTCGGGGGAACTGCAGTCCGGTCTGCGTGAGGGAAAGTGTGTACCTGGGGTTTCCATTTGGTGGAGAAGGGGACGGTTCCACAGTCCTGAGCAGGGCCTGCAGTGGCCTGGCCTCCAAGGGCCCGATAAGGGCTTCTCCTCCATGCTGGTGATACTCCCAGCCTCCCACCTGGCCCTTGAACCCACGCGCCACCAGCGTGTGTCCCCACCCACTTCCTGGTCCGTCAGCTCCCACACAGCCCCCTGCCCCCCTCACTGCAGTCTGACAGAGCAGTGGTCTGAGCACACGGGGCTGTGTATCACAGAGGTGGGTGTTCCTTAGGGATCGGATGAGCCTTCAGCTGTAAAGGCTCGAAGCATTCAATGGCATTGCCCTTGGGGGACAGGAGACCCCAATGCTCCAGCCTCCGCCCTGACAGCAGCCCTGGGGCCCTGCAGAACCTGCTTTTGTGGTTTCCTTTTTTTGGCTGCAGTTTTCCTTAATGGTGACCTTCCCTGAGGTGCCTCTGGGCATCTTCTTGTTCTGTATGTGTGTGATCGCCATCGGGGCCGTGCAGGTAGGTCACCTGGGCCTGCCTTCCCCTCTCCTGGACATGAGTGTACACATGCATGCATGGGGAGGACATGCCTGTTGCCTGCAGTGAGAGCCATGCAGACAGTACCTGCCATGGAATCCCCGCCATGGGACACCATGGGACACAGGCAGAGATGCTGGGGCCGCCTATGCTGATGTGGAGAGAGGGAGCTTGGCATTAGGGCGGCTCCCTGAGACCCCCCACCCACAGCCCAGGTGCAAAGCGGGGGCTCCTGTCCCCCCACAGCCTGGAACATCCTTCCATGAGCCTCACAGCCAGCCCTGTGCACGACCTCAGCAGGGGCCCACTGGCCACAGGCCCGTTTTTGCTGGCAGCCTGCTCTCCCACAGGCCCTGATCGTGGTGTACGCCTTCCACTCCCCCCACCTCCTGAACCCCCATATAGAGGGCTCCGCCCACAGGGCCCACTACCGGCAGCATGTGCTGTGCGTCGTCCTCCAGGGCCCTGCGCTCTGCTTCGCAGCAGCTGGCTTCTCCCTGTTCTTCTACCCTGCGGTGAGTGGGGAGGCCGAGGGGTGTGACTGTCTCACTAAGCAGCCATCCCCAATCGGGTGGGGTGGGGTGGCCCCCAGAGGGAGCCAGGGCATCGGCATGAGGGAGGGATAGAGTGGGGCAAAGGCCTGGGGCAGCCGGGCAGCCAGTGGGGTGCCAAAGAGTGAGGGCCGGTGGTGGGGGGAGGCCCCAGGGACCTGCTCCGGCGTGACAAGCCGCTGCCCTTGGAGCCAGGCTGGGGCACAGAGACCACCTGAGTCTGTGAGGGGAGAGATCCAGTTGCCTGGGGTCCAGGCTCATTTTCTTGGTGAGTAAAGGGTCTACACAAAGCTGGCAGGGCAGCCAGCACTAAAGTGGCTTCTGGCACAAAGAGCCCCAGGGAGCTGCCAGGGCGAGCAGGACCCGCGTGGGAGCGCAGTGCTACAGTCCCGGAGAAGCCAAGGAGCAGTCCTGGGGCTGGGACATGTGCGCTCACCTGCTGCTCTGCCAGACCCACCCTTGCCCTCGAGGGAGGGACATTACTCAGAGCCAGGTGGTCAGCACCAGTTAACAGGCATATCATCTGTGGCACATCTGTCACCCAGAAATGAGATAAATACAAGGGCCATTTCCACTGACTGTACAAATCTTCTGTAGGGCTCCTGGCCTGAGTCCTAGGGAGGTAAAATGGATATTTAAACCCAGAGCATCATGAGAATTGTGAAAAAATGAACAGTTCACATTATTTAAACTGTCCAGTAAACATCTCAAGAATCTCAAATTCAAAACCAAGAGGCTGGCAAGGGGTCTGCAGAGCGTGTTCCTCGGGGATGAGGTCAGCATCTGAGGCACCCGCGGGTGGGGCCAGCAGAGCAGGGGCAGGTGCACGCTGTTCTGGGAAGTGAGTGGCAGGAAGCCTGGGGACAGCAGGACATGCAGCGTCGGGTTGGTGACTGTGCCCTGTTGAGACAGGCCATGGGGAGAGGAGGGTCCTCGTGGGCCGGGAGGGCCACGCAGTCAGCAAGTCCAGAGAGGGGGAGGGTCCCTCGGGCCTGGCACAGCGGACCCTCAGACAGTCAGCAAGTCCAGAGAGGGGGAGGGTCCCTCGGGCCTGGCACAGCGGACCCTCAGACAGTCAGCAAGTCCAGAGAGGGGGAGGGTCCCTCGGGCCTGGCACGGCGGACCCTCAGACCCCCCCCTGCTGCTTCGTCTTCCTTCCCTGCAGGGCAGGTCTGACACCTTTCGCCTCACCTTTCCACCCCCTGCCTCCTTGCCTGGGGGCCCACATCCATCACCCCCTGTGAGACAGCTAGTGACAGAGCTTCCTGACGCCCAGGCACACCCACCACGGCCTCCCAGCAGCCCGTGGCCCCGGCCTCCCAGGTGTCCTTCCAGCCCCTTCCCTTAGTTGGACACTACGCTGGGTCCGCTGTCCAGGCACATCCCCTGCTACCACCCTGGTGCAGGCCATCCTGGCCTCCCCTGGTGACACTCACAGCACCAGGTGGCCTGCACTTCCCATAGGCTCTCACTGCTCCAGGCCTGGGCACGTGCCACCTGCTTGCTCCTTCCAGTGGCTGTTTAGATGCCACTTGCCCTCCACAGGACTTGGTTTCTCTCTTTTCCCTCTTGCACTAGTTCATTTTCTCCTTCCCCCCCTATTCTGAAGCATCCCCTCTAGCCGGTTGTGCTATGGCCCAGCTGCCACCTCCTGGAACATTCTGCACTCACCTGCCTTGCACCTGTAGACACCCCCCTGGTGCACGTTTCTTGAATGATGTGTGTGAGGTGGGCTCTTGAAGCATGGAGACGGGTCAGAAACAGGCTGGGCACTGACTTGCCCCACCTGCCTGTGAAAGCCACTGTCTCCCTGAGTGTACCTGGGCACATTGGGTGCCCCAAAGCCCTCGGTGTGGCATGCAAGACAGGGGTGGGGCAGGTGGCAGGGCTCAGGCTGTACCATGGAGGCGACAGCTGCAGGTGAGCAGAGCCTCACAGAGCCCAGGGCCAGGGGACCGGCTGCCACCACCACAGGACCCGGGAAGCAGCCACCTGGTCTCCATCCTCCCCTGGAACAATGTGTTGCATACATGAACAGGTTTACTATCACAGCCATTTTGAAGCATACCACTCAGCAGTGTTGAATTCATGCATGTCGCCAGGCAGCTGCCACTTCTGTCTAGTTTCAGAGCTTTCTTGTCACTCCAGACAGAACCCTGTACCCACCCACCCTCACTCTCCATCCTCCTCCCTGCAGGCGTGGCCACCACTGAGCTACTTGCCCTGTCTATAGATTTGCCTGTTCTGACTATTTCTTATAAATAGAATCAAAATTAGGAGGCTTTTATGTTGGCATCTTTCATTTAACTTGTCCTCCAATTCACTGTGTGAGACACAAGCCACAACTGCCTCCTCGTCGGGGCTGAGGAACATCCCCCTGCCTAGGCGACGGCCTTGTGCTTGGCCACCCGTCCCTCGGTGGACACCGGCTGCCCCCACATCTCCGCTGTCGGGAACACTGCCGCCATGGGCGTGGGTGCAGACGACTCTCCCAGGCTGGGGTTTGTTCCCGGATGTGGGGTTGCTGGGTGGTGTGGCAGTTCTGTGCGGTTTTCTGAGGATCCTCTGTGCTGTCCCCACAGCGGCTGCACCGTTTTACGTTCCCACCAGCTTTGCACGTTCCCAGCCTCCCCGCACCCTCGCCCGCAGTGCTGTGCTCTTGTGGAGCCATCCTCCTGGGGGTGAGGTGGGATCCGGGTGCGGTTTTGACTGGCCTTTCCCATGGCTTGTTGGCCATTTGTGAATCTTGGAGGAATGTCTGTCCCATCCTTTTCCCACTGAGGGGCTTGTGTTTTGTTACAGAGTGGTAGGAGCTCTCTGGGCTCTAGGTTTGAGATCCCTATCAGAGATGCAGCTTGGAAATATTCTCCCCTTTTCTTGTCACTCTCCTGGGACTATCCCTTGACACACAGAAATCCTCTTCGTCTTGAAGTTTAACCCACCTGTTTTCCTGTTTCTCATGTTGTCTCCCCTTTGGAGGGGATCGGCTTCAAGTGGGACTCCAAGCTCTGCCCACCCCCACGCACCTCCGTGGAGGCACCAGGCCACCCCGATGTGTCTGTCTTACAGTCATACGTGCTCATGGCGACGGTTATCTTCCTGCCCTACCTCAGCAAGGCTGCCAGCTGGTGCAGAGGCAAGCTTGTGGGTAGGTGCCTGGGTGGGCTGGTCTGGGCCTCGGCATGTGGGTAGGGTCCCTGGCCTGCATGCTCCCGTCCCCTTGGGGAAGAGGGCAGCGATGTCCACACTGGCACCAGGACCCCAGGGCTTGGCCAGGTCCCCACTCCTGCCTCATCCATAGGCCCCCGGGAGCCCCCAGCTCACAGTGTGGAGTATTTCACTTTTGACCTGCACGAGCCTTTCAGCAAAGAGCGGGTGGAGGCCTTCAGTGACGGGGTCTATGCCATTGTGGCTACACTCCTCATTCTGGACATCTGGTAAGGGCGAAGCTCAGGCCACCCCAGGCTTGATGGAGGGGCCCACAGTGCCTCCCATCTGCCAACCCCACAAATGTGCTCATGCCTCCTGGCACTACCTTCCCCTGAAGGAAGAGCCGTGCCCTTGGCAGAGTTCCCCAGAGCACAGGGTCTCCCAGGCCAGACGTCCTTGGCAGTGGGTAGGGGTGCCAGGGGCCCCTAGGGTGCACAGCGGGCCTCTCCCCACCCCCCGGCGTCCCCACTCTGGGGCCCGCCTCCCCATGCCTCCAGGCTGATACTGCTCTTTCTCAGCGTTCCATCTGCTTTTCCTTAGAATCGTGCGTCCTTTGGTCTCTTGCTCCATGTTTTTCATGTATTTCAGCGTGTTCTTACCCAATTCGACATGCTCAAACACTGATTTGTGTCCTGTATCTGACAGTTTGAAGTATCGACTCTCCTCTCTTGGTAGTTTTCTTCTCCTTCTGTATATGTGAGCTTTTAAAAGTCGGAAGTGAATGTTCATTGGTGCCACTCTCTGAGGCTTAGACCTAAGGTTCTGGAAGGATCTGGCCTTGCTTATACCGTGCAGCCGGGGCCACACTAGCTCCCACCCCTCACCAAGTAGCTCCAAGGAACAGGTGTAGCTGGGAAGTCGAGTCAGTTTTCTTTCCCCCACCCAGAGCCATAGCCCTGAAGACGCAGGTGGGGGTCCCCAGGCTGTGTCTCCTGCCCCTGTGTGTGGAGCCCAGCTGTGAGGACAGTGGTGTCTCAGGCATGCAGTTGGACAGCAGCAGCCCCACAACCCCCATGATGGGGAGAAGCGGGGGTCTGCCATGCCCTGGAATTGCTCCTTGAAGCTAGCCCAGGAATCAGAGCCATGGAGGCAAACCCCCTTCAGCTCTATGGGGCTTCTCCCCAAGTAGATGGGCAGTTACAGACCCCAAGAGGGCCCCATGGGGAGGCCAGAGGGGCTGTGGGTTCAGGAACAGTCTGCTCACCAGCACTGGGGCCTGGCAGGCAGGCCTGCCAGTTAGCAAAGAAAATACAGGATGCAGTTGAATCTGAACTTCAGATGAGTGACACATAATTGTTTAGTGCTCTGTGTATACAAATAGTCAAATGAAAACAGTGTGCAGAATCCACGTCAACCATCTGAAGTTCAGGTGTGCCAGGCAGCCATCATCAGGGCTCAGGCTGGTAAATGTCCTAGGCGAGGCGCCTTAAAATGCCGCTGTTTATGATCCTCAGCGAGGACAACGTCCCAGACTCCAAGGACGTGAGGGAGAAGTTCCACGGCAGCCTGGTGGCAGCGCTGAGTACGTACGGGCCACACTTCCTGGCCTACTTTGGCTCCTTCGCCACAGTGGGCCTGCTCTGGTTTGCCCACCACTCACTCTTCCTACACATCCGCAAGGCCACACAGTCCATGGGGCTGCTGAACACGCTCTCGCTGGCCTTCGTGGGTGGCCTCCCGCTGGCGTACCAGCAGACCTCAGCCTTCGCCCAGCAGCCCCGAGACGAGCTCGAAAGCGTGCGCATCAGCTGCGCCATCATCTTCTTCGCCAGCATCTTCCAGTTTGCCATCTGGACTACAGCCCTGCTGCACGAGGGGGAGACACTGCAGCCCTCGGTGCGATTCGGAGGCCAGGAGCACGCGTTCATGTTTGCCAAACTTGCGCTGTACCCATGCGCCAGCCTGCTGGCCTTCGTCTCCACCTGCTTCCTAAGCAGGTTCAGCACAGCCATCTTCCACCTCATGCAGATCGCCGTGCCCTTTGGCTTCCTGCTGCTGCGCCTGCTCGTGCGCCTGGCCCTGGCGCTCCTGCAGGCTCTGTGGGCCCTTGCCCTGCCCACGGACCGCAGCAACCATGGCGCACAGTCCCCACTCCTCCCTGCTTCCTGCTAGAATGAGGCCTACCTGCCTGGCCTGAGGTTCGGCTGCCAGCCAAGTGCCCGGGTTCAGGCTGTTATTTCCATCAGGTGACTTCACATTCAGCTTCAGAGGTTTCTCACTCTTGTCAAAAGGAGTTTGACAGGAGCTTCACTTGGCATTTTTTACATGCCCAGCTCCTTGCTGGCCCATGCTGTCTCCATCCAGCTAAGGTGAGCCCCATTGGGACTCCAGTCAGTGGTTCCAGGGACAGCTGGCCCCCTGAAAACCCACAGCCTAGGCCTGTGGGGGGCAGGGACACGCATGTTGCTCTAAGACTCCCACAGGGAGCCCAGCCACTCCCCTGATGGGCTGAACTGCCTGAGCCCAGTCCCCTCCACACGCAAAGCCCTCTGGCTGAACTGCCAGGCCTTGCCTCCTGCCAGTCAGTAGGCGCAGAGGCAGCAGAACCCAGGTGCCTCAGTATCTGTCCAACACACGTCACGGCCAGGTGGCGGTGGGCTCCACAGAAGGGCACTGACACAGACTCACACAGGGCAGGGTCACACCATAACATTTACAGACAACTCCCACAGACCGAAACCAACGAAATAAAATCTAATCACGCCACCGGGCACAGGAACAGGGGGATGGACATCTGTGCGCTGGAGGGATGACAAGGATGTTTTGCCATAAACAGTTGTCCCCGTACAAATGTGTGTTTGGTTTTGGCCGAAGCTTGGGGGGCACAGGTCTTGGCAGGGCCATGTCTGAGGTGGAGGTCGCATCTCAGGGCAGAGCTAGGGCCAGGGGTGCCAGTGGCAGCGTGCTGGGACAGCTGCGGAGGTGTGAGCCATGGGCCCCTTGGAGCTCAGGGGACTGCCTGGGCAGATTAATTTTTGGTCAGGCTCCTGCAGTCCGACGTGACTCGGGCTGTGTGCCCCCAGGCTCAGTGGACGGTGCGGCCATCAGTGCCCCCACGGAGAAGCAGAGACACCACAGAAGACCTCTCCGCTGAACAGACCTGCGGACAGGCACGCTGTTGACAGGACATGATTACAGGAGCCAACTTCTCACTTCACCTCCCTCAACTTCCCCTAGACTTCCTGGGCCTAGCCGTGCACGGATGTCCCAGTCCCTCCCGGCTGAGCCCGCCCCCGCCTGAGCACCTCTCTCCATTTTCAGGAAGTTGGCCACGCCCACCTGGCCTCCTCAGGGCCCTCCTCCCCAAAGTGCTGCCTGTCTGCAGGGACCAGGCCAGGGGAGAAGGCACCTACTCCCAAGTCAGTGTGTGCCCCACCCAGCCCTCTGGTGAAGTGGGGCCGGAGGACCTGGCAGCAGGTGCCCTGTCTGCTGGGCACACCCAGGACCCTGAAGGAGTGTTCAGGGGGCCTGCCCAAGGCTCAGTGTCACCCCGCTTGGGGGCTCAGAGGTGGCAGGGGGGATACACAGGGAGAACGCCTGCCCCCAAGGACAGTGGCCTGGGCTCCAGAAGGCAAAAGGGTTGGCCACCCAGAGCCCTGTGCTCAGCCTGTCAGTAGTGTGGAGGCAAGAGGGAAACACCTGCCCCCCACCCAAAGCAGTTTTGGTGTAGCCCAGGGATGTGGAGGGAGAAACAGCCTGAGGTCAGGGCTGCAGGCGAGTCCATCCAGCGGCCAGCCACTGCTGTAGGACGGGGGCAGACTGCCCCAGAGCCTCTCTAGTTCGGGTCCCCCTCGGGGGCAGGCCCTCCATCTGCTCAGGCATCCTTTGGAGTCCCGGCCTTCCTGGGCTTCGGCTTGGCCTTCCTGAGCATGTGGACCTGTACCAGGGCAGGTGAGGTCAGAAGGCCGGGTGACACCCCAGCACGCGCCAGTCCCTCTCTCAATCAAGTTTACAGAGGAAATGGACTGCTGTCACCCCAGCTTGTGGGGCAGGGGCTCCAGCAGCCACACCCTCCCCTCTGAGGCCCCATGGGGGCTCATCTCCCATCAAGAAGCAGGAGCTTGAGAAGGGCTACCTGGTGAGGCCCCATGGCTGCCCAGTTAGGGAAGAACCTGCGCCCAGCCCAACCCACCCCACCCTGGCGTACCTTTGGGCCTGCCGCCGAGATGATCATGTGCCCAGGTGCCTGGACCCAGGGCTCACCATCCACCTGCACAGGTGTGGCCTTGTGAAGGGTGACACGGAAGTAGGAGCCCTGGGCGATGCGGATGCCAGAGCGTAGCCCACCCTGGACCTGACCCTGGCGGAGGAGATGCCGGCGGGGCTCAGTGTGCTGCAGCCCCACCCTGGGGCCACCCCAGGTTGCCCGCACTCACCATGTGCATGACGCCCGTCACCCCCACCACCTCCAGCAGCCCATCATCCATGCGTGGCTTCTCGAACCTCGAGTCACTGTCGGAGCCCCACAGGTCGGCCCCCGAGCCCCAGCTGCCCCGGGGGATGGGTGTACAGGTTAAGAGGCTGGATCAGGGCCCAGAGCCCACAGCCCCCGGGAGCTCTGCCCACCGGCACCTGGGGATGTTGATGAAGATGAGGCCCTCGATGCTGGGCAGCTCCACCTCCTGCTGCTCCACCTGCAACCGAATCTCCCTGTGCAGGCCACGTGAGTGGCTGATTTTCTGCAGCCCCACCCGCACGTACACACCCTTGTTGTGGAACCTATAGAAAGGGATACACCTGCTGTCAGCAGATGGGGCCCTAGCCCCCTAAAGCAGCCCTTGGGTTCTAGCCTCTAGCCACCAGCTCCTGCTGATGAAGGCCCAGGAAGCAGGTCATCACCAAGCAGCAGCTCCTGCTCTGCCCAGCGCAGTCCTAAGCTCCCGTCCGTGCTCCTGTGGCACCTGCTCGTGAACTTGCGAGGTTCTTCCTCCCGCGCCTGGTGGAAGTCCAGGCTTAACTCTGCATCGATGCCGATCCCACAGTAGTTACTCATCTGCACAACCTGGGAATAAGACATCCTCACGTGGACCCCTGCTGCCAGCTGCTCCCTACCCCCCTCAAGCTAGCCCAGCCTCCTCAGCCTGAGCCCAAGTCCACCACTTTGTCAGAGCCGCTGCGATCCCATGGCTGCCCTGCTCAGTAACCTCCCACATCCGGGGCATGCAGTGTGTGGCATGTGGTGCAGGCAAGGCGCTGAGCCAGCCAACCCTGGGCGTGTCACCCAACAAGTCACTGCTCCGGGCCTCAGCTTCCTTGTCTGTAAAGGGCATGGGACTGGCTCCTGAGCCAGGGTCTGGCTGGGCAAGGACAAGTCCCTGGACAGATGTAATAAAGAATCTCACATCCAGTGCCACACCCTCACTGGCACGCTGTACCTTGGGGGGCTCCACATTGGCTACACCATCTGCACCGCTGGCCTGGTGGGCGTCCAGCAGGATGGTCCAGCGATCCATGAGCACAGTGTCAGCCTCGTCCACCAACAGCAGCACAGAGAAGGGGTCCTCGCCACTGTAGCCCGCCCCCCAGCGGAGGACCCGGCCAAGGTCATTGCCTGGGACACAGGCCAGACAGACTGACTCTCCACACCCACCCACCACCCTTCAGCCCTTGACCGAAACTCAGCCCTGGCCTGACTCGACTCGCCAGCTGACCCCACCTGTGCCCAGGGGCAGGATGGCCACAGAAGGCTCCGGGCAGGCCAGACGGTGCCGCATCTCCTCCAGGGCGGTGAGCACCCAGCCCACAGTGCCATCCCCACCGCACACCAGCACCCGGAAGCAGGGCACCTGGGAGAACACGTGGAACCTGGCGAAAGGGGGATGAAAGTGCCCCACCAGCACAGGCACAGCGAGCAGGGCAGGGAGGGGAGACCCGGAGGCAGCATGGCCTTCAGCTCATTCCCTGTCCAGCACAGCCCTTCAGGGCTGACCCCACCCCCTCCCTGCCCTGCCAGCCTGTCAAAGGATGTGAGCAGCACCCCTCCTGGGGCCTGCCAGGCTGTGAGCGCACATGGGGCCCACCAGACTCACCCAGGGAGAGGGCCCCCGTTGGTCAGCTCAAAGACCTGGTGAGGGTTCAGCAGCTTCCGAAAACTGCAGAGCAGCTCACGGCCCTTGAGGCCTCCGCTCTTGGGGTTCACAAACACGAGGAGGGGGCAGCAGTCTGGGGGCAGCTTCTTGGGCTGGCAGGCAGGAGCTGGCTTAGGGTGGGCTCCCAAGACCACCCCTCAGGGGCAGGGCCAGGTGTCTCCCCCACCTCACTGCCAATGACTTCCCCCAACCTGAGCCAGGCTGGCCCCCTGTCAAGGAAAGCGCACACAGGGCCAGGGGGCCACACCTGCTCACCTCACCATCGACCGTTCAGGGCAGCCCCTATGGCAGAGGGGGCACCCACAGGCTGCCGGCCAGCTTGGAGCTCTGAGCACACCAGCCACACCAGCCCTGCTGGGATGTGTGTCCCCAGTCCATGCCGGCTGCCTGATCCCATGGCCCAAAAGCCCAGGAGGGAAGTCCACGGGGAGCCCCACCACCCCCTCAGAGCTACCTGTCACACACCCTCTGAGGACCTCTGCCCCCAGGGCCCTGTCCCCACAGCTGTCAGGAGAAGCCCACTTCACTGGGCAGACCCCCGCCTCCCCTCACGTATGATCCTCAGAACACTGCCCAGGAGACACTGGACAGGGACTGGGGCCCCTGCAGTGGCCTGGGGTCCCCACGATGGGACTGCTGGGTGAGAAGAAACAGGCCGGGTCCGGACACGCAGGGTGGGGTGGCACACAGGCTGGCCATGACTTGAGGCTGAGGACGCAGCTGGGGTCAAGGCAGAGCTGCCTGCGTCACACTTACCTGCTCACCCAGGGCAGGTGGCTGCCAGGAGAGCATGTTCACACCTGCTCGGCTGTGCCGGCACCCAGCTGATGAGGACCCTAGCCTGCAGGGGCTGCGTCCCCATCAGGACAGGATGGGCCTGCTCTCTCCTCCCAGGCTCAGGGTGGTAAGGGGGCGGGCAGCTGGGGCCCAGGGTGTTGCACACCCATCACAGACCCTGAACTCATTTTGCTCTAATTCTGCTTCACCTGGACAGAGGTTAGGGGTCGGCCCAGTGACCCCAGAGAAGGCAGGGCCTGGGGGGACACCCACACACACACAGCCCTTAGGAGGTGGCCCCTGCAGGACGGGGGCTGTATCCCAGGGCCCTCTGCTCGTCAGCCTACATGAAGGCCTCTCACCCTCCAGCCTCAGGCCCCTCCCTCGATGCAAATCAGGTCACATATGGCAGCTGCGGACTTCGCTCCACCCACCCCAATTATTAGACAAACTAGCTGTAAAAGCCGCATGTCCCCAGGAGCCACCACAGCACACACTCACCAGCACATCAGGGAGCACCAGGGCAGTCAGCGGCTGACCGTGCACAGCCGTGTCTCTGACCAGCATGTAGAGCCGCTCGGCCTCTGCAAAGCAGGCCACGTCCAGCACCACTGCACCTGAGGCAGGCAGGCCGTGACTGGCCACTCTGGCCACTGCCAGCTTTAGTTCACCCCACCCAAGGGTGTCCACTCGGTGCCGGGCCCCTGCCCCCGGGGGAGGCTTCAAGACCAGCTGGGCTCAGAGACAGGATATGGTGGGTGACTGTGAGGACCCTCATCCCTGCCTGCTGAGTTCCGAGCCCATGGGGGTGTGCCCACAGGAACAGAGAACGTTGATGACGGCTGAGGACCCCAATGGGGGCGTGGGGCTCATGGTACTACTGTCCCACACGGGGCAGACTTGAAGTTTTCCACAGCAAAAGATGTGAACCCACATGCAGATGGGTTTTGGAGAAAATGTTCTCCATGTCTGTTGTGTTCTAGCAAAAATATCACAGTGCAGAGCAGAAAAGCTGAACACGTTTCTCACACACAGAGGGTAACATTTAACATGGAAGCCAGAAGAGCAGGGCTCTTCCATCGAACTCCAGGAAATGACCTTTGACCAAACCTGACCACATCCCATGGGGTGACTCACCTTGCAAGGAGTAGACGTGGCTCATGGACACCAGGCCAGCTGCAAAGACAGGCTGCAATTGGAGCAAGCACGGATGCAACACAGAGGCCCAGGTCCTGACCTCCTCAAGCAGGGGACACCCTCCAGGCCCCTGCTCCCATGGCTGTCCACACTCACTCAGCATGGCCTAACCCCTGGCAGCCCCCTGACACTTTGCTCAGGGGAGGTTCACACCACCTGACAGGGGTAGCTCCCCCAGAAAGTACCCACTCCCCAACCACCAGGGTTCGGGGTACAGAAGGCAGAGCCTGGATCTCTGGAGGCTCAAAAGCCCCTCAAAGGAGCTGTTACAATCTTTGGAGGTAAGGACAGACCCACTGCAGGGGAAACTGGCCTGATAAAGGTTCAGATGGGGAGGGGTGGCCAGCCTCAGCACAGGAGCCTCCATGGCCTCAGAACCCCTGCCCTGTCCCCAGTGGCCAGGAACCCCACACCAGCCCAGCTGGCCACACCTTTGGTGGCCACAGCCTCGTCCAGTAGGCTGCTGTACTCCTGGGAGGACAGGCCGGGAGGCAGGCCAGCAACAAACAGGGAGATGCGTGGGGCCACGACCCTGCTCTCAGCCACGTAGAACCGCGTCTGGCTCATCTGCCATAGGGATGTCTGTGGGGGGTGGGGGGGACTGAGCGGAGCACTGGGGATAGCACCCCTGTGTCCGGTCCCTCCCCCTCATCCAGAAAGGGGCCCTTGAGGGGCTCCAACTGAACTGCAGGGCAGAGGAGGAGAGTCAGTGGCTTCCTCCCATGGAAAAGCCCTCCACTCTCCTGGGAAAACTCAGGACCCCATTTTGCAAGCACAGGGAACTTGTCAGGAAGCAGGGACCCACCGGACCCAAGAAGGGAGACCCTGCCCACCAGGGTGGATGTGGCATCTCAGGGGCAGACTCCCTCTCTGTGAGGCAGAGGCTACGGCCAGAGGCCAACAGCTCCTCAGGGGCACAGTCCACACCCACCAACCTGTCGGATGTCACGAAGCCGGTCGAGCAAGGGCTCCTTGTCCTCCAGCACCATCCGCTGTACTGCAGGGGTAAGAGGTGTGGCGCTGAGACCCCAGGGTGCCCAGGGGCACACCAGTCGGGCATCAGCTGCAGGCCGCCCACCTACCTTGCCTACTGCCCATGAGTACCTCCACCAGCTGGAAGCTCTCGGGGCCCTCAGCCTGTGGGGGCGGAGTTCGGAGCATCAGGCCTGGACCAACATGCCCCGACCTCCCCAGGACACCCACACGGGGCTGCCACACCAGGACCGGGCCTAGCACACACCTGGCGTCCGAGCATCGGGAGGACTTCCAGCACCACGGTGCGGGCAGTGCTCTGCGGGGTCACACGGACAGACACATGGGCCACACCCACCCTGCAGGGGACAAGCTCAGGACTCAGGCCACACGGTCCCCCCACCCTGACTCCCGTGGCAGAGCCTGTGCCTCGGGCCTGGGTCTCACTTGAGCCAGGCAGGATATATCTTCAGGACCTCTTGGGTGTGGGACACAGCGCGGATAATCCAGGCCTCGGGCATGGCCTCACAGGACCCGGCACCTCGGCCGCCCTCCTCCTCCGCAGTCCCGCCACTCCAGGCCTTTCCCTGGGCTCCAGTACCACCAGCCTGTCCTGATGCGGGGGGCACCTGCAGCTCGAAGTTGCAGGGATCCTCCATGATATAGTAGGCCCGCAGCGCTGCCTCCTGCCAGGACGGGGGACAGATGTGGCTGAGAAAGGCCATGCCCAGTGCCCGCGGCAGGACGGCCCGCAGGGCTGCCTCTTACCAGCACCTCCTCACTCCTGGCCGGGCGGGGAACGGTGACAACACGGAAGTGGTTTCGCTGCAAGGAGTCATTGCCGTCAAAGATCTTCAGGGTCTGCTTACCTGGGCCACAGGGGAATGGGCGTGAAAGGGGGCGCAGGGGTCAAGGGCCAGGTTGGGACATGGGGCCAGGGAAAGCTGGGGGAAGGAATGGGGGCCCAGGCGCAGGATGGGGTGTGGATGAAATGGGGCAGGACGGAGGCGGGGCGGGGGCCCGGCGGAGGCAGCCAGCTAAGGGGCACTCACCGGATTCTGGCCCCAGCGCCTCTCTGCCCGGGCCCGCGGGGGCGCTCGCGTCGGGGCCATCGTCGCCCTCGCCTGCGGGGTGTGCACAGGGGCCTTGCACTCGGCGCTCGGCCCCCACCCAGCGCCCCCCAGCCGCCGCCCCGCTCACCTGGCTCCGGGGCCGCGCTCTCGGGGATGCGGAAACAGTGCATCTTGCTGAAGTTGCGGGACAGCAGGCGCACGCATGCGGGGGGCAGGACCATTGTGCGCAGGCGCCCGAAAGCGCACTCGGAGGCAAGCGCCGCGGAGCAGACCGAGTGAGCCTGGGGGTACATGTACTTGAGCCTGGAGCCTTCGGGCAGGAGGGCCTAACCCTCTAACCCGCAGGCCACCTCACCTGCCTCGACGGGGCACACGGGCGGCCAGCACCACCCCCCGACCACAGGGATCGCCCACTCTCTTCCAGACCATAGGCACCCCCGCCCAGAATGGGCGTGAAGCAGACAGGCTCAGATGGAATGGCGCCCCGCCCGCACCAAGACCACCGGCGCTGCTCCCGCCCACCTGGACACCGCACCACTCGCAGCGCACGCCGGCCAGCACGTCGGAGGAGCCGCACGCCTTCCGGCAGACCTCGCAGCGCGCGCCGGAGGGCAAGTTGCCCTCCCGCCAATGGTGGTGGTGCGCACCCTGCGGAGGGGGTCGTCAGCTACCCGGCGGGACCTCGGACCCGCCCCCCCCCCCGTTCCGGCGTCCGGGCCCTGTGCACTTACGTGGTCCCGGTGCCCGTCCCGGTGGCACTGGCGGCAGTCGCTGCAGGCGAAGGGCACACAGTCGGGGTGAACGTGCAGCTCACACACTGTGGGACAGATAATTGGGAGCTCTCGCCGCTCTCCAGGCCCCCGCCCCCTTCTTGCCGGCCATGCTTTCCTTCACCTTCTTGTGCCTAAGGTGCAGGGCAGGGAAAGCCCCCCACACCTCTCCGCAGGGCGGAAACCAGCTTGTCATCTCTCCCTAACAGGCTCACCTCAACAGGCAGCTCACCCTGCAACCCCTGCACCTGCCTCCGTGCGCGGGCAGCTCTAGAATCGACAAGTACCGATCAGGGCCCCTGGGCACCACCTTGCCCCCAGGACAGCCTCCTGGCCTCAGGGAGTGCTGGGTCACCCTGGGAGGCAGAGTCCACGGCCCTGTGATGGTGGCTCAAGGCAGAGGGGAGCCAGGCTGACTTGAGGGGAGTACCTTCACAGCGGAGTGCAGGTGCCTCCAGACTCTTGCGGCACACAGCACAGAACTTGCGCCTGTACAGCCCCCGGGAGCCAAAGCAGTGGGCCACAGGGACCTGGAGGGAGCAGAGTGCCCCCTCAGCCTGAGCTCACCTGCCCCGCACCCTCACCCCAACCAGACATCCATCCAGGTTCAGCAGCCCTTCCTCCACATCACCACCCACACCACATGCCTGAGCCCTACAGTCCCCCCAAATGCTCCTGAGCACAATTTACACACTGCTCTGGAAGCCTTCTGGACCCCTCTATGCCCTGAGAGGTCCTGCTGAGGACTGCCAGCATGCCCCCGTCCCCATTCCCATACATGACTGACACTGGGCTGGCCCCAGCCATGATCGGGCAGCCCCCTTCTGTGGGGACACCCCTGCTCCCTCTGCAGCTCAGGACCCTACTGATTCTGCTTGGGCCTGACCCAGCTTCACTGCCCACTCCGACAGGCCTGCTCCCCCGTGATGCATTTGGGGCCACCTGGATGAAACAGTTGAGGGGAGGCCCACTGACAGGCAGGAGAGGCAGTGCTTGGTGCCAGGGACCCCGGAGATGGGGTCAGAACCAGCAGGAAGTGAGGCCCACCTGCTGCCCTGGAGGGGCTCATAGGCAATGCAGCTCAGGGACCCAGACCAGCACAAAGGAACACTCCCACCCAGCCCCGAAGTGCTGGTTCCACTGCCCGCCCCATCCAACCTGCCGTACTGCCTCCTAGCCCAGGACCTGCCACAGGAGCCAGAGTCCCCACCCACTACCACTCCCAGTGGCTGCAGGAACCCACACTCCATACGCACGTGGACCAGGCTGGGTGCCAAGCTCGCACAGGGGGCCTTCACATGCTTCAGGCATTTCTCGTGGGACATGAAGTTGCAGACTGTGGAATGAGAGCCACACAAGTTTGCCTCTGTCCTGCTCAAGAATCAAGAGACCCTGAGCCTTAGTATGCAGAAGGGAGGCCTTGGCCAGCAGGACCTCCAAGGGTCCAGGGGGGAACCAGCGTTCTGTGGCAGGCAGAGCACCTAACACAGTGGGCAAGCTGCCAGAGCTGACAGGGGACAGTTCCTGTATGGCGTGAGTCATTGCCGCCCCCAACCCCACCCCACTGGGAAGAGTGAGTCCCACAGTCCCTATTCTTATGGGGCAGAGGGAGGGCACTGGGGCAGCCTCCCCCAGAAGCACCATGCATACCCCATTCTCTGCTGCCACCCCCCTCACCCACACTTCCCCAGGGAGCCCAAAGCCAGTAGCAAGGGCCTGGGTGTCTCTGTATGATGGTGTGTCCTGGAGTCCCTTGCACAGAGGCTGAGCTCTCCTGCCAGTCTCTGCAATTGGCTCTCTGAGGGGCGGCCAGGCACCTGGCACACCCCAAGAAGGGCTTTGCCAAGGACATCCTTCCCTCAGCCCCACAACTGCATACGTCCCTGATCACCCCTCCCCCATAGCGTGAGCCAGCCTGTGATGGGCCAGGACCCCCGAGGCAGGCTGCCCCCACCCCTGCCCAGAGGCTCCCTGGAGGAGGAGCAGACAGACGCTGTGCCCACGAGGCTCATGGGGGCCACAAGGGGGCACCCCACTATCCTGGGGAGGCAGAGCAAGGCACCCAGGAGGGAGGCCAGGAGAGACTAAGGCTCAGCTGGGAGACAGACCCAAGGATGGACAGGAGTCAGGGGAGGCCTCAGGGGCACATGCAGCAGGCAGTAGTCCCAGTGAGGAGGAGGGGGCCTGCGTTGGGCCCCACTTGGGTGGGACAGGATGGACAGGCTGCTGGGGGCTGGGAAGCAAGCTGGCAGGAAGATACACTCTCCTACACAGCCTTGGGCAAAAACTGCTTACAGGGGCCTCGAGGCAGCCCACCCCATCCATTGCAGCCCCACACCTGCTCCTAAAAGGTGGCTGGCAAGAGCAGCCTTTAGGTTTTGCTTCTGAGAAAACCAGAAATCAGCTGGGTCAATGGCAGCCACTGAGGGGGTGAGCACTCCCCACCAGCGCCCCTCCAGGGCACTCAGACCAGCTCTGCTGTGGAGGGTGCAGTGGTGGGCAGGGCTCATGGAGAGCGCCTAACCACCCCACACCCCACATCCTGGCACTCCCTGGCAGGGGAGGGGGCTCTCCCTCCCACACCCTTGTCAGGTCCCTCTACTTGCCCAGACCACCAGCATGTTCTCCACAGAGGCGAGGGGAACGTCCACACAGCTGCCCACCCGGTGAAGGCTCCTGTCATACCCCAAGCCCCCCTCTGTCCATAAGCAGCTTCCCATGGGTCGAGGCAGCAGGTTTTTGAGTCCCTCAGACCTGGGGCCCTGCCTTCACCATCCTCCACCTGTGCAGGGTCCTGCAGTCTAACCTCGGACCTGGAACTGACAGCCTGCACAAGTACATCTCCCACATCAGGTGAGCCTCCAGGCATTCCTGGGCGGGCAGCACAGTAGCGCGGTGCTTCTGAGCTGACAGTGAAATCAGGGGTAACCACCCCCATGCCAGCTGGCCAGGCCACCTTGTGCAGCCCTGGGGAGTCAGACAACCCTGCCATTTCCCCTGGCAGAAGGCATCCTGTGTGAGGGGCCTAGCCTCCTCCGCAGACCCCAGCCTGAGTGGTCCCTCAGTCCCCAGAGTCAAAGGCCTATCTCCCTGAACAGGCCAAAGCAAAGGCTCGTCACCAGCCGCCCTCCATGTCCCCGGGCAGCTGTGGCTCCAGGACCCCCCCAAAAGCCTGAGGAATGGAGCAGGACTGGAAGAGATCAGACCCCAGAAGCTTGCGCCTGCCTGCCGCCCAGGAGCCACGGGAGGAGGGCCTTCTTGCCCAGCCAGGCCGGCTTGGCAGCTGGGAGGCAGCCCTGTCCAGGCATGCAACACTGGAATGGCAGGCCCTGACCGGCTTCCCGGGGACCTAAGTCTGGGCAGTGGCTTGCACTCAGGGCGAGAATGGGCCAGCGCCAGAGCACAAGAACCAGAGGCCCAGGCCAGCCCTGCCTAACTGCATGCTGCCCCAGCTGCCAGGAGCCAGACCAGGGAAGGGGCCCTGACTGCCCAGGGTAGGTTGGCTTCACGCACAAATCTGCACTCGCCCCCACGCTCTTCCCGCACTGGGTCCCAACCCAGATGAGGAGGCCCAGGGAACAGTTATTTCCCGAGACCCACGGTCCTGGGGGACGCGCTGGGGCCACCTGTCGCCCCCAGGCCCCTGGAAGAGCCAGTCCTTATCACCGCTGCGGGGAGGGTCTGGGCCCGGCACACACCAGTCTCTTGGGGCAAGCAGCTCTGTCCTGGGGAGGCCACTGCTGGGGTGCCCACGTCAGGGTGAGGGGGCCCATTTCAAGCCAGCGGCTAGGGTCTGCGATGGGGTCGCGGGCGCTCACCGTCGCACAGGAAGCCAGCCAGACCCCAGATGAAGTCGGAGCAAAGGTGGCAGAAGGTGGGCTTGGTGAGCGTCACCTTCCGGAAGCTGTGGCCCGAAGTGGCGGGACCCGGGGGCCTGACGCCCGCCCGCTCCAACCCCGACCCCGGCCCCAGCCGCGCGCGGCCTCCGCCGCCCAGCTTGGGGCTGGAGGCCGGGCTGCCCGGGCGCAGCGAGGCGTTGCCAAGCCAGGCGCGGGCGCCGGGCTCGGCCGCCGCCGCCGCCATCCCGGCCCGGGCGGCCGGAGCCCTGGCGGGGGGCGAGAGCCGGTTGCGCGCTGCGAGTGAGAGCGCCCGCCACCTCCGCCCGGAGGTCCGCGCCGGGCTTCCTACTGCGCCCGCCGCCACTGCGCAGGCGCGCTAGGGCGGGAGCGGGGTCTCATTTGGGGGCGGGGCTGGTGGGTGGAGCCTTGTGCGGGGCGGGGCCGAGGCTGGAGACCTGGTCGTCCTGCTAAGCGCGCGGCCGCTGGGCGGCCTGGATGGCAAAGGCACGGATACCCCGACCTCGGGCGGACCACCTGCTCCTGGAGCCGAGACTAGGGACATTTACACCCGCGGCGCCAGGACCGCGCGTGCGTGACACCTCCCACGCGGCGCCCTGAACGGCCGGTGGTTCTTGGTGGCCCCGGAAGACCCAGCGAGCACGCCGCACTGTCCAGAGCTCCCGGGGTAGGATAGGCAGCCCCAGTCTCGAGTCAGAGGAGCCGGAAAGGGGCTGGGGGTCGGCACGAGGCTCTGGCGAGGGGCCAGGTCCTGCCCGTGGAGCCTCAGTCTAGGCGTCTCAGGAGGAGGGCAATGGCGGTGGCTCTAGGGCCAGGAGCGCCGTGCGTGGTCTTCGGACGCGTAGACCCTGCTCTGCCCCGAGCACCCCCGAACCCCAGCACTTGTCCTCGCTACAGATGGGCACCGAAGTACCCGATGGCCAGGGCCTGCAGCCGACCAGGACTTTGCTGCCCCACCTGTTCGCGGATGCCTCTTCAGGAGCGCCCTACCATCAGCTCGCCCTTAGAAGGCCCTCTGGGTCCTGGTTCTGGCCTCGCGTTCCCATCTGCTGAACCACCAGGCCTCCTTGAACCACCCTCCATGCTGTGAAAGATGCACCCTGCCGCACTCCCAGGGAGGACAGTGAATCCCCTGAACTGAATCCCTGCTAGGTGGGCCGCAGCAGGGTGGAGGGGGTGTAATGACCACAAACGGCAATATGCCAGCAATGCCTAGATGGGAGATAGACCTCCTGGTGTGGCCACAGAGGGGAAAGCAGGAAGGAAGCACTGCCTTTTGTACAGAGGGGCTTCCAGGAGTGGACAGCTGGGGAAAGAGAGAGGTCTGAAGATAGAGATGAGCAGGCCCTGAGAAGGTGGGGAAGACTCTGACCCCAGTTCCAGGAGGGCCCTTCATTTGTCCAGAGACTGTTCACTGTGCACCCTCTGCACACCTAGGGTGCTCAGCTGGCATCTCTGCCCTCCTGGAGTGAGTTCTGGGGGCAGAAAGATGACGAACTGGAAGGCAGACATCAACAAACAAGCCAGGAATGCCACTTAGTGTTGGTGACTGGCTGTAGATGAAGGGAGCCAGGACTGAGCAACCAGGAGGAGCTGGCTTGCAGCAGCTAGAGACACATCTGAACAGGGGAAACAGAAAGTGCAAAGACTCGGGGGCAGGGCAGTCAAGGAAAGCAAAAGGCACCCTTTCCCACGGGATTCCTCAGAGGGTGCCCCGAGGTGTCAGCATGCTGCTGCTGAGGCCCTTTGTCCTGGAACATTTAGCTCACTGCTGGCCTCCTCCCCTTCCCCAAATGGCAGCAAGCTAGATGGCTGGGTCTATCCCTCCTCATCTCAGTATTCTGGCTTCGGGTCACCCCCACACAGAACCTGCCCTCAGCAGGTTGCAGGTCACAGGTCAGGGACAGGCCTCAGGACCAGCCTGCATCTTGGCCAGGGGAGAGCTGTGACCCAGCTATATAGTGCCTGCAAGAAGGCACAGGTTTCTAAGAAAGCCCGCTCCCCGTAATCCAACTGCTGCTGACTAATAAAGAAACAGAATTTAAGGATGCACCTTTCTCCATTCAAGAGAAGGTAGAGGGCAGGGAAAATGTCCTAAAAAGGAAAATCCATATCTGACCATTCCTGCAAAACTGTAACTGTGCTCTCTGATCCAGCATATTAACTAAAATGCAAATAATACTTCCACCAAATCCTTCCATGAACTTCTTACAATAACTTCTAAAATTAGCAGGCCTCTAGTCGAAGCTTAAAACTAATTCTCTGCCTGGAACACAGCGCCTGGAGCCATCCTCAGTGCCCAGATGGCAGTTCTGTCTGCTCCTGTGTCTGTTGCTCCCATGGGTAACTTCTTCCAAGCAGGCCCCTCCATGGCCTTGATCACTTGGTTTTACGGGGCTGCCTGGGTCAGCTGTGGCCGCTGTAAGCGAAGACCACAGACTGGGCAGCTTGAACTGACCACCCTTGTTTCTCACAGTCCTGCAAGCCCGAGGTCAGGGTCCAGAGAGCACTCTTCCTGGTTTGGGAACAGGCCGCCTTCTTGCTACGTTCTCATGTGGCTGGAGAGAGAATAAACGCTGGTATCTTTTTTCAGGAGGGCACTAATCCCACCCAAAGCCCCACCTCCAAATACCATCACATGTGGGTTAGAGTTTCAACATATGAATTAGTGAGAGAACAAATCTCTGTTGTTTAAGCCACCTGATTTGTGGTGGCGCTTTGTTAGGGAGCCCTAACAAACTGGTGCTAGCTGGTGCGGAAGGCAGAGACAGGCCAGTGGCACCCTCCTCCAGACTGGCTGCACTCACCCGCTGTTTCATCCTGAGTCCCACTGACGGGCCTTCTGATGCACTGGCACACCCACAGGAATGGCTGCTCTGCCCTGGGTGCTGCCATTTAATTCCTCCTGCTCCCCAGGGCTGGGAGGCTGTGGCCAGACTGGCTGCCACGAAAAATGCTTCCATAGATCTTCTTGTCTATGTGTTTCAGTGGCATGTGTACACATGGCCACTGACATGTGTGACACTACTGGGCCATGGCACATGCAATGTTCACCTCTAAAAGATAATCCCAAACATTTTCCAAAAACCCACAGAAAAATAAAAATGCATACTTCCATCTGCAATGCAGGAGAGTTCCCTCTCCTGCACATTTCTGCCAACCCTGGACACTTAACAGTTTCACAATTCCAGCCTTTGTGGTAGAGGCACAGAAGTAAATGTGGTTTTGACTTTCATCCTCCAGTGGGGAGGGGGTCTGCACCTGGTCACAGACTCCTCTACCACCTGCCGCTCTTCTTGTGGGGCCCTGCCCTGAAGGTCTGGACCAGTTTCTATTGAGCACTTTTTTCTTATTGATTTGTAGGAGTTCTTTATATATTCTGGAGGTGACTCTTTTGTCAATTCTAGTCTAATCAGGGTCCGCAGTTGTTACCCGCCATGAAGTCGCTGTCAACGCAGAAGCACGGAATCAGCAGCGTGGCACCAGGGCGCCTGGGAGACGGGCAGGTTGCTGCGAGCCTCTGGGCCTGTTTGCATCGAGGTGTCGACACAGAACATTATTCCATGTCGGTTCTGCTTAAAGACAGTGTATTTAGTCTGTTGTTGGTTCACTAAACATGGAATTCATGCAGCAGCTGGGCCTCAGCCTGAATGAAGCTCACGGACACAACGTTCTCTGCAGGACATATTGCCGCCTGTTGCGCCAGTAACACTAGACAGAACCTTATCACCAGGTTCGGGCCATTTTGAGCAGCAACATTGCCAAGGAAAAGCAAAAATGCAGAAAACGTGATCCTGAGCGCTTGGCAGAAAAGTCACTTGTTTGCAATGAGAGCTGGAAGAGGAGGGAGGGTCACCTCGGTCCCCTTAGCCCGGGATGTGCGTGCAGCCACTCACATTCCTCACCGCTCAGCGCACGTGCCCGCATGAGCACGAAGATGCCGCGAGTGCAGGGGGTGGAGTTACAGATACGTTTTAGCCAGCAGGTGAATTCGCAAATACAGGACCGTGAATATCAAGGACTCTCTGTGGCAATGCCCCCACCCGGGGCAGGCCTTCCCCTGCCAGTGCTGGCTCCTGGTGAACAGGTTGCTTAGTCCTCACCTCGTCCACCTGATCAGCCCTTTCTTCTCTGGGGAGGGCCTTTGTGGGCTGCTGAAGCACCTGCTGCCATGGCGGTGAAGACGCTCTGGTGGTGGGAGAGCTGTTTGTCTCTCCTGCTCGCACCCGGCCAGCCAGGCCTGTGCTGGCAGCATGGTGGGAGGTGCCTGGGCTGTGTGTCACTAGGCCTGCCTCCACGTGGTGACCCAGTGATGGTGGTGCTGAGTCTGCCCAGCTTTAGGGTGGCCTGAAATTGAAGTTTCTCTTGAAGAAAAGAAATACAAAATTATTGTGATAAAATTAGATACATATTTATTCAGAATAAGAGAAGAAATCACAACAAATGAAACTTTAAAAAAATTGGTTGAAAGCACAAACATCACAAAATCCAGAAAATACACAATTTTTATTCATAACCACCTGCTACTCCACTATGATACTTTCTTCATCTACGGTTTTTCTTGTCTCTTCTTATAATAATTTTGCAATATCACTTTCCAGGGAGAAAAAGGAAAGATAATTTCATCTTTCTAGCATAGCTGATTGAAAAAAATGTGACTGTTATTTTACAAGTTTCTACTTGACAACCTATTCCTGGTAATATTATATATATTGTTAAAACTGCTGTCAAATTTGGAGAGAACCCTGCCAAGTTTCTTTCATCTTCAAGGTGGGTTGTGCAGTGACTAATCTAAAATGCTCCTACTGATTCACCAGGCCTTTTTACATCATGTCCTTGTCACATTGGCTGTGAGGATTCTACGTTAATCTTGCCAACATCAGCATTTCCTGTTAGGTCAGCAGGATGTTTCATTCTTTTCCAAAAGTTCGTGTGATTCCCTCCTCTTGGATATTTGCCATGGCTGTTCCTGGAAGCTATTTTCTGCACCAGGATATCTTACATTAGCTTTGCTATGCAGGAAAGTGACTGGGAATGACATAAATATACTTCTCTGAACCCCAACTGATGTTTCTACAACTCAGCTTCCCTTTGGCCAGATCCCAAAAGTGCCTCCCAGCAGGAGGGGAAGTGCAGGAAGAGATAGTGTGGGAACTGCTGTGGTCACAGTGTCTCGGTTTAGCAAACCAAACACGTGACTGTATGGCCACAGTGCCCATGAGTCCATGCCATCGTGTGGAACTGCAGTGTCCCAGAGATACCTTTGTCTTCCCAGGCCATGCTGTCTCCACTCTGCTGGCCTTACAGCCCTGATCAAGGACAACAGAAGCCCTCCTGTGCACTGGAGGTGTGGGCAGGACCACACTCCCTCCAGAGACTGACTGCTGAACTCCAGTTCCTGTGGCCCTCTCCCATGTTCCTGTGCTCGGGCCCCCCTCCATCATCAAAGCTAGCAGGGTGGCATCTTTATTCTAAAATCTGAACCCAGGATTTGTTTTAATGAGATAGGGGAAGGTGATAGGAACAGAGACAACTGCCTTTGAGAGAACTTATTACTTACATTTCGCGGGCCCCACGGGGTCACACGGGGAAGCACCAGGCTGGGTCAATGGGCTGAAGCCAGAGTAAAGAGAAGGGGCCCAGAGCCTTCACTAGGGCTTTAGCAGGAAGGGACAGGTGATGGAGCACAAGTGAACAGAGTAAGATTAGGATTAGCTATATAATGACTGCCCACTATGAGGGGGTCCCCAGCTGTCCGGTGCCTGGCCCTGGGTGATTTGGGACAGACGGGATGTCAGCTTGCTGGGTGAGACTAAGATGCAGGAGTCAGTGGGGGCTCTGCATGGGTTCATTTGTGAGCAGAGGCCCTTTCAAGGAATCTCTAGGAACTGGCTCACTCTGGGAAGGGCAGTGTCTGTAGGACCAAGACCCCAAATGCAAAAGCATCAAGAATGAAGAAAATAAGCAAATACTGTCAATATAGTCAGGGACAGGCAGGAAAAAAAAAAGGAAAAAGTTTCTACTTGCCTAGGGATACAGCCAGACTTGGTTTAAGGGAAAGAGAAGCCCAAGGGGGAAGGGGCTGTCCCAGGGCGGCAGCTGCAGCACACCCCCCACCACCACTTCCTCTCAGCCAGAGAGGGAAATGACTCTTCAGTTCCAGGCGGCGTGTGGACCCCTAGCGAGCCTCTGTCTTGCCCCAGGCCGTGAACTCCCTGATTTAAAGGCCCTTGGGCGACTCACCTATAGCTCACCTGAACACACGCCCTTGCCTATGTTTGAAGGAGATGTGTCCTGCCCCTTGTTTCTAAGGCTCTGTAAACGTGAATCTCTTTCATGACAGTCACTTCTCTGCGTGTCTCACCACACCTGAGTCATCTCCTGAGGTCATCACAGTCTCATCCATATTAAGCATCCCCTGCCCCCAGGACACTGATGACTATTAGGTCCCCCGCGGATCATCCAGGATAATCTCCAGGCCTCAAGCTCCTTAAGTTAATCACAGCTGCAAAGTCCCTTCACCATGCTAGGTCACATCAGGGGTGCTGGGGCTGAGGACACCAGGCCTGGCAGGGCAGCTGTCCACATTCCATTAACACCCCCCCCCCCCGCCACCGCAACTCTATGCCATTGTTGGTACACATCAATCCCCTAGATGTATGCGTCAGATACCACACCCTCTCTGCCCCGTTCTGTCAGTTCCTGCTGGCCCTGGGCTCTCTGGACCATTCTCCTTCTGCTTGAAGGACACTGTTTATCGCCTCCTTAGGGGAGGGCTGGTAGTGACAGATGTCCTCAGGGTTTATTTCTCTGAACATCTTTACTGACCTTCCCCTTTAAAGTATACTTTCTGCTGAATTTAGAGCTCTGGGTTACCAGTCAAGTCCTTTAAGGACTTGGGAATTGTCATTTGCTGGCTTCAGTCTATGCCAGTTCTCCCCATCCATACTTGGAGGGTGCCAGGGCCACTCCCCAGCTGGCTTTGAAGGTCTGCCTTGATTTGTTTTCAGTGTTTCCGTAGGATGTGTTGGACTGGGTTTCCCTCCAGGCCTCATAGCACGTCTTGATTCTGCATCGGGTGTCTGCCATCACTTTTATAAAGTTATCAGCTCCCAGTTCTTCAAATCTTGTTGCTGTTGCCATCGTAAGGGACCGTCGCGTTGGCGGACTCCCAGGATGCACGAGCTTGTCACAGCGTCATGAAACTCATGACGGCTGCAAGCGGGGCGCCGGACGACCTGCCAGGAGCGCCCGGGCAGGTCGGCTGTGAATACCGGCACCTCCGACCCCCTCCCCCGCACAGGGGCGGCCGCCCCGCTGCCCGCTGGGAATGTCCCCAAGCACGCCTGTTCCTTCACTGCCCCTTTCGGGGAATGGCACCCCCTCCCCACGCTGCTACAGCTAACCCCCGGAGTTACCTTTGACCCTGCGCTTTCTTTCCACCACCCCCAAGAGCGGGCCTAGCGCCATCTGCCAAACATGTCTCACCTCTGTCCACCTCTGCCCACCGCCCCCCACTGCTCCCGGGGCAGCGGCGACCCCAGAGGCCCGGCTGCTGACGGCTGGGATCCTAAGCCGCTACGCGCAGGGTCCACGCCCTCTTCCCGGCCCCGCCCCCCGGCCCGCCCCTCCCACGGTCCACTTCCCACTGCAGCCTCGCCCCGCGGCAGCGCTCACGTGGCGCGCGACCCGGAGGCGGAAGCGGCGGGCGCGGCCGGGGCTCCGGGGCGAGGAGGAGCGGGTGTCCCCTAGGGCTCGGCGTGCCCCGCGGCCCCATGCTCCCCGCCACGCTGCCCCGCGCCGCCCTGCTGGCGCTCCTGGCAGCGCTGCTGGCCGCGCGCCCCGCCGTGGCCGAAGTCCCGCTCCTGGTGCGTGTGGACGCGGCCCGCGCGCTGCGGCCCCTGCGGCCCTTCTGGAGGAGCACCGGCTTCTGGTGAGCGCCCTGCGCGGGGAAGCTGAGGCCCGAGCGGCTCGTGCGCCCCTGTCCCGCCGCGCGGCGCGGCCCCAGGCCGCTGAGACCCCTAGTCGCATCCGGAGAGACCCTTGGCTTCCTGGTTCCGACGCGTCTCGGACTCCGGCGCCCGCGCGCGCAGCAGGCCTCTGAGGAGGAAGGCGGGCCGAGCCCGAGCCTCCCCCGTCCGGCCCGCCCCGCCCTTGGGGTCGCCCACCGTCAGAGGGGGGTTTCCTCTCTGTCCGCCCCTCCCTGCGGACTTTGGGGCTCCAGGGGGCTTTCTGGCTGAGGGGGTACCCTGTGGGGCGGAGGCCTGCGGCGAGGCCCTGAGTTTGCCTGGTGGTCCCCAGAAATCTGAAGAGCCTGTTGGCTGCACACGACAGCCCTGGCCGCGGGAGGGGCCGTGGCCCAGGTCCCTGAGCTTTGCTGCGGGCTAGGACCCTCCCAAGGGAGCAGCCCTCGGTGCTGGATGTCCATTAGGGGACCTGCCCTCTACCCATGTGCATCCCCGACCTCCTTTGCACAGAGGGCTGGGTGGGGATGCGTCCCCTCCTCTGGAAGCCCCTGACCTCCGTAAACAAGAGGCTGCAACATTCCTGGTGTTAGGTGTCATTTTGTCACATCCGGGACTGTACATTCCCTGGCAGACACTCCCAAGTCTGGTTTACGGGAGCCTGGTACCCTAGGCAGCCTCAGCCTGGGCTTGTAGGTGCAGGATGTATGCCGGCCCCACCCACGAGCACTAAAGCTCCCACTCCCCTTGTTCTGTCTCCAGTCCCCCTCTGCCACACAGCCAGGCTGAGCAGTACGACCTCAGCTGGGACCAGCAGCTTAACCTGGCCTACGTGGGTGCTGTTCCGCATGGTGGCATCGAGCAGGTCCGGACCCACTGGCTGCTGGACCTTATCACGGCCAGGTGGGTGATGGAGGGAGTAGCAGCTGGGCACAGCTCACTTTGTGGAGATGAAGACAGGCTGAGAAAGGAGGTGGTGTCTGGGTGTGGAGGACGGAGCAGCCGTAGCAGTCGGAGCACGGGAGAGGATGAATCCTGCTCTGAGGAGCCATTGTCCCTGCATGTCCCAGCTAAGTGCCCTGTGTGTGGGGGAGCGTGGAGAATGTGCCCCTGGCTGCGTGGGTGCTGGGGGTGCTGGGACAGCCCCTGGACTGGACACGGCTAGCTTCCTGCTAGAGGTCATCCCAGAGGCTCAGTTGGGCTGGTGTTCTGCTCTGGCCTTCAGCAGCAGCCAAGCGTGTGCCAGTGTGCCCTGGGCTGTGTGCTCGAGGGTCAGCTCTATAGGGATGCTGTGTCTGAGGTCTGTTGGTCACATCTGCCTTTGGCCCTGCAAGGCCTGGCCTGGCCGAGCCACAGGTATAAGGAACACTTGGGTGTGTGTACTGGGGGATTCCGAAGACAGAGACCCTTCCTGCCCTGGCCAGAGCCACGAGTTTGCACTGGCAGGGCGGGGGCTGGGCAGACTAGTGGGCCACCGCCCTTGTGGCACCTTGGAGCCACACGGTCACCTCAGGGCCCTTGTTCAGGTAAGGTGGCGACACCGTGTGTCAGACCTGCCCTGTGAGGCTGTGGCCATCCAGCAGCAGTGCCTGGGCCAGCACCATGCTGGTGCCTGTCTCAAAGACTTGGTTCTCTGGTCTTGCACATCCGGGTCCTCGTGTGTCTTCACAGTGCCACATTCCCATCCCAGCTGGGCCTCCGTTTCCTCCAGGGTGGAGATGGCACGGCATTGCTGCTGGTGCGGTCTTGGTGATGGGTGGTGTGAGGGTGTCTGCCAAGGGCCTCCTGGAGGGAGCAGGGCTGGCCTGCTAGAGGGTGGAGTCGGTGGCCACTAGCTCCCTGTGGCGGGCTCGGGCTGCCTGCACAGCACCATGCACGCTGTGGAACAGCTGCGCCTCTTCGGCCACATCTGCCTGGTCCTCCCTGAGGAAGCCACCCCTCCTCAGAGTGTCTCTTACCGAGGGACTGCAGCAAGCCAGGAACAGGGCAATGCCCAGGGCCCTGTAATCATGGTGCAGAGCCTGCAGCGTGGCCAGGCCGGCCACATCCAGGAACAGCAGTGGGGCGCAGTCGATGACTACTGTGTGGAAGCCGGCCACTGTGGGCACCAGCACAGCAGTGCTACCCCCGGGGCCTGAGGCCTTGTCTTCCACAGGGTCTCTCTTGCTGGCCCTTGCCTCTGGGCCCCAGCCCCTGGTCCTGGCAGCTGCACGCCCCACGTCCAGGCCTGTGAGGCTATAGAGCGACTGCAGGAAAAAGTCTTTGTTGGCGTAGTACAGTGGCCCCCCGAAGCGGAACACCCGCACCCCGGGCTCAGGGACCAGGCCCTCAAACTCCTCAGCATCCTCATAGATGCCCGAGTCCCCGATGCGGGCCAGCAGGGCAGCACGTGGGCGTTGTGTGCGGCCAGCCACGCTGAGCAGTGAGAGGAGCACGCCAGCCAGCAGCCCCACCTCAGTGCTGACCAGTACACAGGTGGCTGCAGTGCCCACCCACACCAGTGCTTCGGCCGGGCAGAGCTGCCACAGCTGCGGGATGTCCCTCACCTTGCGCAGGGCCCCCCGCAGGCTGACGACGACGACGCAGGCCAGCACGCTCCGTGGCAGGTCTCGGAACAGCGGCGCCAGCACCAGGAGCACCAGGAGCACCACTGCCGCACTGACTACACTGGACAGCTGGGTGCGGCAGCCGGCCGCTGTCTTCACCAGGCTCTTGGCAAGGGCAGCACTCGTGGCGAAGCAGTGGAAGAAGGCGGGAAGCACGTTGCAGCAGCCCATGGCCAGCAGCTCCTGGTTGGCTCGCACAGAGTAGCCATGGCTACGGGCAAACATCTCTGCCAGTGAGATGGAGAAGGCAGAGCCCACAAGGGCTAGGGGCATGGCATCCAGCGCCACACGCCACATGAGCCTGGGGTCCGGCGCCTGTGGGGCCACGAAGCCAGTAGGGATATCGCCAGCCACGCTGGAGCCGAAGCGCTCGTGGAGCCGCCCGATGTGAGACACAAGCGTGGCCCCCACAACGACCAGCAGCTCCGTGGGCAGCGGCACCTTCAGGCGGTGCCGGCAGCGGTCTGCGAGCTCTTTGGCGGCCAGCAGCACGGCTAGGCACACGGCGCTGGTGATCACATCGCACGGGTTGGCCTGCCCAGCGCTGCGCAGAAGACTGAGCCACGTGCTGACCACCATGCCTGGCCCCTGGTGTCTTGGGACCCGCACACCTAGAAGGTGCCTTAGCTGGGAGGTCAGGATGGTCACTGAGGCCCCCATGGCAAAGCCGTCGAGCAGTGGCTGCGAGAGATAGGTGGACACGAAGCCCAGTCGGAAGACACCCATGAGGACCTGTGGACAGAGCACGGTCAGGGCGGCCCCTGCAGCATGCATGCACGTGGGTGCTCACTTCCAGCCCGCACAGGCGTGTGGGTTGTGGGGAGCTAGAGGGCAGCTCCTTTTACTTCAGCCCCACAGACAGCACCACCCCACTCCCAGGAGACTTGGAAAGACTGGGGGTGGCCCCTGGGACGGGGTGATGAGGGATGGTCAAGCACAGTACAGGAGAGGGCTGAGTGTGGGAGGCCGCAGGAAAGCAGGCAGGGCCCCAGGGGCTGGGAGGAAGGCCAGGGAAGCCGTGTGGGCCTCTGTCGGGCATGTGTGGAGCCGAGGCCGCACTCCAGCTGCCTGTCCCTGCCCAGGCTGTGGCACCATTGCGTCCACCTCTGCCTGTGCCTTCCCTTTGCTGGTCAGATACAGCCAGACTTGGTTTAAGGGAAAGAGAAGCCCAAGGGGGAAGGGGCTGTCCCAGGGCGGCAGCTGCAGCACACCCCCCACCACCACTTCCTCTCAGCCAGAGAGGGAAATGACTCTTCAGTTCCAGGCGGTGTGTGGACCCCTAGCGAGCCTCTGTCTTGCCCCAGGCCGTGAACTCCCTGATTTAAAGGCCCTTGGGCGACTCACCTATAGCTCACCTGAACACACGCCCTTGCCTATGTTTGAAGGAGATGTGTCCTGCCCCTTGTTTCTAAGGCTCTGTAAACGTGAATCTCTTTCATGACAGTCACTTCTCTGCGTGTCTCACCACACCTGAGTCATCTCCTGAGGTCATCACAGTCTCATCCATATTAAGCATCCCCTGCCCCCAGGACACTGATGACTATTAGGTCCCCCGCGGATCATCCAGGATAATCTCCAGGCCTCAAGCTCCTTAAGTTAATCACAGCTGCAAAGTCCCTTCACCATGCTAGGTCACATCAGGGGTGCTGGGGCTGAGGACACCAGGCCTGGCAGGGCAGCTGTCCACATTCCATTAACACCCCCCCCCCCCGCCACCGCAACTCTATGCCATTGTTGGTACACATCAATCCCCTAGATGTATGCGTCAGATACCACACCCTCTCTGCCCCGTTCTGTCAGTTCCTGCTGGCCCTGGGCTCTCTGGACCATTCTCCTTCTGCTTGAAGGACACTGTTTATCGCCTCCTTAGGGGAGGGCTGGTAGTGACAGATGTCCTCAGGGTTTATTTCTCTGAACATCTTTACTGACCTTCCCCTTTAAAGTATACTTTCTGCTGAATTTAGAGCTCTGGGTTACCAGTCAAGTCCTTTAAGGACTTGGGAATTGTCATTTGCTGGCTTCAGTCTATGCCAGTTCTCCCCATCCATACTTGGAGGGTGCCAGGGCCACTCCCCAGCTGGCTTTGAAGGTCTGCCTTGATTTGTTTTCAGTGTTTCCGTAGGATGTGTTGGACTGGGTTTCCCTCCAGGCCTCATAGCACGTCTTGATTCTGCATCGGGTGTCTGCCATCACTTTTATAAAGTTATCAGCTCCCAGTTCTTCAAATCTTGTTGCTGTTGCCATCGTAAGGGACCGTCGCGTTGGCGGACTCCCAGGATGCACGAGCTTGTCACAGCGTCATGAAACTCATGACGGCTGCAAGCGGGGCGCCGGACGACCTGCCAGGAGCGCCCGGGCAGGTCGGCTGTGAATACCGGCACCTCCGACCCCCTCCCCCGCACAGGGGCGGCCGCCCCGCTGCCCGCTGGGAATGTCCCCAAGCACGCCTGTTCCTTCACTGCCCCTTTCGGGGAATGGCACCCCCTCCCCACGCTGCTACAGCTAACCCCCGGAGTTACCTTTGACCCTGCGCTTTCTTTCCACCACCCCCAAGAGCGGGCCTAGCGCCATCTGCCAAACATGTCTCACCTCTGTCCACCTCTGCCCACCGCCCCCCACTGCTCCCGGGGCAGCGGCGACCCCAGAGGCCCGGCTGCTGACGGCTGGGATCCTAAGCCGCTACGCGCAGGGTCCACGCCCTCTTCCCGGCCCCGCCCCCCGGCCCGCCCCTCCCACGGTCCACTTCCCACTGCAGCCTCGCCCCGCGGCAGCGCTCACGTGGCGCGCGACCCGGAGGCGGAAGCGGCGGGCGCGGCCGGGGCTCCGGGGCGAGGAGGAGCGGGTGTCCCCTAGGGCTCGGCGTGCCCCGCGGCCCCATGCTCCCCGCCACGCTGCCCCGCGCCGCCCTGCTGGCGCTCCTGGCAGCGCTGCTGGCCGCGCGCCCCGCCGTGGCCGAAGTCCCGCTCCTGGTGCGTGTGGACGCGGCCCGCGCGCTGCGGCCCCTGCGGCCCTTCTGGAGGAGCACCGGCTTCTGGTGAGCGCCCTGCGCGGGGAAGCTGAGGCCCGAGCGGCTCGTGCGCCCCTGTCCCGCCGCGCGGCGCGGCCCCAGGCCGCTGAGACCCCTAGTCGCATCCGGAGAGACCCTTGGCTTCCTGGTTCCGACGCGTCTCGGACTCCGGCGCCCGCGCGCGCAGCAGGCCTCTGAGGAGGAAGGCGGGCCGAGCCCGAGCCTCCCCCGTCCGGCCCGCCCCGCCCTTGGGGTCGCCCACCGTCAGAGGGGGGTTTCCTCTCTGTCCGCCCCTCCCTGCGGACTTTGGGGCTCCAGGGGGCTTTCTGGCTGAGGGGGTACCCTGTGGGGCGGAGGCCTGCGGCGAGGCCCTGAGTTTGCCTGGTGGTCCCCAGAAATCTGAAGAGCCTGTTGGCTGCACACGACAGCCCTGGCCGCGGGAGGGGCCGTGGCCCAGGTCCCTGAGCTTTGCTGCGGGCTAGGACCCTCCCAAGGGAGCAGCCCTCGGTGCTGGATGTCCATTAGGGGACCTGCCCTCTACCCATGTGCATCCCCGACCTCCTTTGCACAGAGGGCTGGGTGGGGATGCGTCCCCTCCTCTGGAAGCCCCTGACCTCCGTAAACAAGAGGCTGCAACATTCCTGGTGTTAGGTGTCATTTTGTCACATCCGGGACTGTACATTCCCTGGCAGACACTCCCAAGTCTGGTTTACGGGAGCCTGGTACCCTAGGCAGCCTCAGCCTGGGCTTGTAGGTGCAGGATGTATGCCGGCCCCACCCACGAGCACTAAAGCTCCCACTCCCCTTGTTCTGTCTCCAGTCCCCCTCTGCCACACAGCCAGGCTGAGCAGTACGACCTCAGCTGGGACCAGCAGCTTAACCTGGCCTACGTGGGTGCTGTTCCGCATGGTGGCATCGAGCAGGTCCGGACCCACTGGCTGCTGGACCTTATCACGGCCAGGTGGGTGATGGAGGGAGTAGCAGCTGGGCACAGCTCACTTTGTGGAGATGAAGACAGGCTGAGAAAGGAGGTGGTGTCTGGGTGTGGAGGACGGAGCAGCCGTAGCAGTCGGAGCACGGGAGAGGATGAATCCTGCTCTGAGGAGCCATTGTCCCTGCATGTCCCAGCTAAGTGCCCTGTGTGTGGGGGAGCGTGGAGAATGTGCCCCTGGCTGCGTGGGTGCTGGGGGTGCTGGGACAGCCCCTGGACTGGACACGGCTAGCTTCCTGCTAGAGGTCATCCCAGAGGCTCAGTTGGGCTGGTGTTCTGCTCTGGCCTTCAGCAGCAGCCAAGCGTGTGCCAGTGTGCCCTGGGCTGTGTGCTCGAGGGTCAGCTCTATAGGGATGCTGTGTCTGAGGTCTGTTGGTCACATCTGCCTTTGGCCCTGCAAGGCCTGGCCTGGCCGAGCCACAGGTATAAGGAACACTTGGGTGTGTGTACTGGGGGATTCCGAAGACAGAGACCCTTCCTGCCCTGGCCAGAGCCACGAGTTTGCACTGGCAGGGCGGGGGCTGGGCAGACTAGTGGGCCACCGCCCTTGTGGCACCTTGGAGCCACACGGTCACCTCAGGGCCCTTGTTCAGGTAAGGTGGCGACACCGTGTGTCAGACCTGCCCTGTGAGGCTGTGGCCATCCAGCAGCAGTGCCTGGGCCAGCACCATGCTGGTGCCTGTCTCAAAGACTTGGTTCTCTGGTCTTGCACATCCGGGTCCTCGTGTGTCTTCACAGTGCCACATTCCCATCCCAGCTGGGCCTCCGTTTCCTCCAGGGTGGAGATGGCACGGCATTGCTGCTGGTGCGGTCTTGGTGATGGGTGGTGTGAGGGTGTCTGCCAAGGGCCTCCTGGAGGGAGCAGGGCTGGCCTGCTAGAGGGTGGAGTCGGTGGCCACTAGCTCCCTGTGGCGGGCTCGGGCTGCCTGCACAGCACCATGCACGCTGTGGAACAGCTGCGCCTCTTCGGCCACATCTGCCTGGTCCTCCCTGAGGAAGCCACCCCTCCTCAGAGTGTCTCTTACCGAGGGACTGCAGCAAGCCAGGAACAGGGCAATGCCCAGGGCCCTGTAATCATGGTGCAGAGCCTGCAGCGTGGCCAGGCCGGCCACATCCAGGAACAGCAGTGGGGCGCAGTCGATGACTACTGTGTGGAAGCCGGCCACTGTGGGCACCAGCACAGCAGTGCTACCCCCGGGGCCTGAGGCCTTGTCTTCCACAGGGTCTCTCTTGCTGGCCCTTGCCTCTGGGCCCCAGCCCCTGGTCCTGGCAGCTGCACGCCCCACGTCCAGGCCTGTGAGGCTATAGAGCGACTGCAGGAAAAAGTCTTTGTTGGCGTAGTACAGTGGCCCCCCGAAGCGGAACACCCGCACCCCGGGCTCAGGGACCAGGCCCTCAAACTCCTCAGCATCCTCATAGATGCCCGAGTCCCCGATGCGGGCCAGCAGGGCAGCACGTGGGCGTTGTGTGCGGCCAGCCACGCTGAGCAGTGAGAGGAGCACGCCAGCCAGCAGCCCCACCTCAGTGCTGACCAGTACACAGGTGGCTGCAGTGCCCACCCACACCAGTGCTTCGGCCGGGCAGAGCTGCCACAGCTGCGGGATGTCCCTCACCTTGCGCAGGGCCCCCCGCAGGCTGACGACGACGACGCAGGCCAGCACGCTCCGTGGCAGGTCTCGGAACAGCGGCGCCAGCACCAGGAGCACCAGGAGCACCACTGCCGCACTGACTACACTGGACAGCTGGGTGCGGCAGCCGGCCGCTGTCTTCACCAGG